AAAAAAAAAAAAAAAGAAAGAAAAGAAAGAAGAGAAAAAGAAAACCGAAAGCTGACTACTCCTGTGGAGAAACTTACCACTCCAGCCAAGCCCGCACTACCAGCGGCAAAGTGGCAAATACGGCTGCGCGAATTGGCCGCCCCGCCCTCCCTGGTCACGTGTTGGAAGCTCGCGGCGTGGCGGCAGCCTGGGCGCTAGCTACGGCAGACCGGAGGGCGGTCGGACGGTTTCCGGTTCCGGTGTAACGTTCGGGCTCCGTCTCAGGGGCTGAAGTTTGTGAGGTGAGTAGTGTCCCCGGGCCCGGGGAGGGTATCTGCGGTACGCACATATGTGGCCGCGGTTCAGTCCAAGGAGAGGGCAGAGGCGGAAGGGCTCAGTGGGATGGAGGCTGAGAGAAGTACACGGTTTTGTGGGAGCAGCGGTTGGAATGAATTGTTGAGAGGATAAGGGCGGGGGCGGGAACGGGACAGAGTGGAGAGACGGTTCTGAGCTGAGGAGTTTGGGTAGAAAAAGGTGGGTAAGTGGCCAGTTGGAGAGACGAAAGAGTAAATATAAAAGATGGGGGTTTTAGTGGAAACTCAGGTTGTAGCAAAGAAGAGTAAGAAATTCAGAAGATTGGATTCTGCTGCCTGCTCATTCATAGATCATTCTGTCTTAATATCTTTATGCACTCCAACTCCTCTCCCCCAGCCACGCAGTTATTGTTAAATATTTGGTGACCGAAGGCTAGCTATTGTTTGGAACTTTTTTTGTCCATTGGCTGTTTAACTTGCACATCATCTTATGGAGGATTGTGTTGAACTTGAGTATACCTACTAGTAGTGCTCGGGCACACATTTCATCTGATAATGGCATTTCATTTATTGCCTTGGGTTTTCAAATTGCCTACACTTTGTAGCCCATGAGTCAAATCTAGTAGAATGTAAGCTCCATTAAGGCAAAGATTCTTTTTTTTTTTTTTTTGATACAGGGCCTCACTTGGTCACCCTCGGTAGAGTGCTGTGGCATCATAATTCACAGCAACCTCAAACTCACAGACTCAAGTGATCATCTTACCTCAGCCTCCCGAGTAGCTGGGACTACAGGTGCCTGCCACAGCGCCTATTTTTCTTTTCTTTTCTTTTCTTTTTTAAGAAATTGGGGTCTTGCTCTTGCTCTTGCTCTTGCTCAGGCTGTTCTCGAACTCTTGAGTTCAAGCAATACACTCGCCTCAGCCTCCCAGCGCGCTAGGATTATAGGCATGAGCCACTGAGCCCAGCTTTGTTCACAGTACCTGGTACACTTTTTGACGTTTAGTAGTTACTCAATAAATATTTATTGAATGAATTGAGTATGCTGTAGATACTGTGATTGTACTCACTTTGTAAAAAGAGTAAACTGAAGTTCAAAGGAATTAATGGCCCAGGACTTGTATTTTTAAATTTATTATTATTATTGTTATTATTTTGAGACTGAGTCTCATTCTTTTTCCCAGGCTACAGTGTCATGGTGTCAGCCTAGCTCATGGCAACCTCAAACTCCTGGGTTCAAGCCATCCTTCTGCCTCACACTCCCTAGTAGCTTGGACTATAAGCTGCACCACCAGCCTAGCTAATTTTTCTTTTTTTAGTAGAGATGAGGTCCTACTCTTGCTCAGGCTGGTCTTCAACTCTTGAACTCAAGTGATCTTTCATCCTTTCCTGCCCAAGGATTTGTAAATGGTGGGGCTCAGTGTCCCAAATGTTCAGTTTTGGCTCTTTTCTTCATTTTCTATGGTGCCGGTTGTGCCTCTTTTAAATATTGCATGTTTAATATGTAGAAATTGATAGGCTATACTGCTGTCTCATCTTGGGATAATGCAGCCACCATAGAATTATTCATGTAACTTGTCACTGAAGCACTAAGTCTTTCAATATTAGTTTTATAACTTTAATCTACTATGTTCATTTGAATGCCAAAATTAAATCCACTAGTTGGCAACAGCATTTATAGAGGGTAAACTTGCCAAAAATGTAGAAGTTAATCAGACTGTATCTCTTAAGGAAAAAGATGTCTAGAACATCATGAAATATTGATTCTCAGGTTATGCTCTGATTAGTGGCACTGCTGGAATTAGGTTAGCTTGGAAATTGAGGTTAGTGCAGTTTATTGAATGCCTTTTACTATGGAGAATATCAGAAATAGAATTTTTTTATGTTCAGGAGGAAGTTTGAAATTTCAACATGATTGGCTCGGCGCCAATGGCTCAAGTGACTAAGGCGCCAGCCACATACACCTAAGGTGGCAAGTTCGAATCCAGCCCGGGCCGCCAAACAACAATGACGGCTGCAACCAAAAAAAAACAAAAATAGCCAGGCGTTGTGGCGGGCGCCTGTGGTCCCACCTATTTGGGAGGCTGAGGCAGAAGACTCGCTTGAGCCCAGGAGTTGGAGGTTGCTGTGAGC